TAACCACCCTCCCCCCCAATGATTCATGCCATAAATAGCACTGTGGCTTTGCAAACACTTGCATGTTCCATACTGAAAACCCATTAAGCATTAATATATTTACCCCCACAAGGTAATGAATGAATCTTTGTTTCATTTAAGCATCTTTGTTCGCTGTTGTAGTGAGAAAAGGCCACTGTGGCCATTTTTATTGAGTTGCCATTGTCCTTCGGTAATTAGTTAATAATATAAAAGTCTGTTAAGCCCCCAGGCAACCGTTTTGCCGTTCCTTGGCCATCAAATTGTCTCTTTAATTGAAAATTACATTTCAAGGAATTTCAAATGATTCAAAAGGTTTATTGTCATTTGTACTAGTACCAGTGCTGAGTCCAATGAGATGCTTACTCGTGTTTTTTTTTCAGAGTGAGTAATTCCACACTAGGTAACACAGGATAACAAGAACAAGCACTTAGTAGCAGGACACAGGACAACACCTAAAATAGACATTAATATGATATGGAGGTATGGATGTACCTGGAAGAATAAATACGGTATAGACACAATATACATGCATACTGTAGCAACAGAAAATAATACAAACATGGTGCAAAAGCAGAAATTCTTGAGGTTCGGGGTTGTATTTCTAAAAGAATTTCTGATAATGCATACTCTAACAATTCATACCTTATGAATCTGTGTCAATGGCAATAAGCTAAATAAAGAGGCACTTCATGCTAAACTGCATTTGCACTGTAATATCAGAGACGCATTCTTGATAAAAATTACAATTTTTGAAATGTTGCATTAGTCTTACGAGCGCGACAGAAGTGCTGTTTCTTTGACTTCAACCAGTGAATAAATAAAAGCAACAATAGTCAAGAGATGCACCATGTTATTGAAAATGTCAACAAGATTAATTGCTCGAATTAAAGACTTTCAAAGCACCCCAGGAAAATTACATTAGAGCATCATTCATGAAATATAACCAGAGCCAATGTTCACACACTGTTTTTATGTAAATATACCGGATAGGAATCAGTGGTCTCGCTGAGCTGCTTGCAGAAACTCGGCTGCAATTCACAGCAGGTCCGTTCACAGATACCTTCTCTGTCATCCTGAGTCTGTACCTATATGATAGAAGAATTTGCTCCCCCACCGTGTTTGTCAGTGTAACTCAGTGCCTATCTCCCCCATGGTGACCCCAGCAGCCTGAGTGTGTGTAAGGCAGATGGAGCTGTCTGCTAGTCTGGAGTATCATGCTATATTGTTTTCTCTTGTCTAGAGCTATTTGTAAGTGATTATTGCTGACTCAGGTCTAGAGGTGTCAACGGTCTGCTTAACGGCACTGGCTACAAACCACTGGAAATTATTCTAAAGTGCTATTTTCAGGGTTAGCCAATGTTATTTATGTAAAATGTATTTATACTTTATAACAATGAATGGGCAATACTGATCGATAAATATCTATAGCAACAAGAGAGGAAGATACCTTGTGCTGTTTTTGCTGTGATGTATGTAATGTAATTTCAGTGATACAGTGATAACTGCAAACAATACAGACATTATCAAGTAAATTCATTATTCAAAGGATCAAAGACAGTTGGACGGATGTCAGCATGATGAGGGAAGAGTAGCGGTGGCCATTTTGGTTTGTCTTATTTTGAACCTGCAGTTCTTATTAACATGTGCTGTGGAGTGACAGGGGATTGGCTGAAGCCCAGAAGTCACATGATCAGACAGAGAGGTAAGGAGGAGCAGGAATGGCCTCCATTTTTTCTCCCTCCAAAACAAAGCACATCAGACAATCTCTTCAGGGATTGCATGAGAATGAAGAGAGATAGGAGGAGTAAAGGAAAAAAGCATAGTAGAAAAAAGCTTTCAAAGGTATCTTTAACTTGACTTGACCCTTTTGTATAGAAACAGAATTTTGGTCTGACATTTTCAAAGTATACCTCCCCCGGTCCTCTAAACACAGCTCTTTAACGGTATGAAAATGAAATCACCAATGTACCCTTAAACCATAATTGAATAATTAGACAAAGAAGATTACATACCTCTGCTTTTCAAAGAGGTGCAAAGGAGAAGAGATTAAGATATTCATGTTTGTCATGAAACATTACAGATTTTCATTGAACAATTCATTTTCATAGTAAAATAATTATATTTATTAATGCTCTTAGAATTATAACAGTACATAATTAATAATCATAAATCTTCCTGTTGCCTATCCTGGACAAGATCACAGGACCATGACTAATTATACAATGCACAGAATTTGATTATTGGGTGAAAATATTTATCTATGGAATTCACTATTCAGAGATCAGAAGGAACAGCTCAAGTTTGTTAAGTGAACAGTAATGTTTAACATATCTACTCAAACCTTCCGCACAGATTTTTTTTACTGATTCTTTCCTTTCTTGCTATTTGGCTATTAATTGCAATTGTGGTGACTGGCTCCCAAATGGATATTAAACACAAATTTTTGGTGTTTTATGTTATTGCAAATATATCCTTAATTAAAAAGCACCAAATTAGCATGCTTGTCAATGAACTTTTTAATCCGGAACAGCTCTTTAATAACTATAATTTGAATTTCAGTTTATTACTACTTGAAATGAATGTTTTACTTAAAACTACTGTTTCTAATGTGAATTATATTTTTGTAAATTAAAACAGTAATGGTTTTTGTTAAGGAGACGTCCCAGGACTTTTTCTGAGCACTATATGACTGTTGTACATCTTAGGATATGTACTTTGTTTGTGTGCTGCACAGCTGATGCACTGTGTATAAGATTACTATGTTGCATATACAGTATGTGTAGCTCTGTTTGGCATAGCATGTAATGAATGACTGGTTGGGCTCTCTCACCTTGCACCCCCTGGGAGAAAAGAGATTGGCACTGACATGTTCTAGAGAGCCCATTCTCAAGTACTTTATGCATTATATCTTACTGTGTCCAAAATTAAGAAGACAGCATATTCTTATTAAGAATATAGAATGAACCAGTTGAGTCTCTCCTATAGATTAATTAAGGTTCTGATCAGAGAACCTGCCTGTGAGCCAAACCGATGATGTCGTTACACTTATTATGCATCTGATTGGCCCCTGTGAGCTGCTCCCTGCTGGGTTTTAGTGCTGACATCTTCAAGTCTCCCTCATGGTTGCATATATCCTCAGGCTGACAGTTTCTATTATGCTGCCATTTTTCAGTTCACTGGGGGCCCACTGCATTGCACCTGGTTACCTCTACTTCTTAACTTTTTTTTGCCATTTTTTTCTGCTTCCCCTTCTGCCTCCCACTTGGGACCATCTGGCCCTGTCCAAACAAATCATCATCTGGACCCCAATATCAGGCCTTGTAACAGTGTCTGAAGAATGAAGCCCCACGTTGGCATGATCCAGTGCCGGGACACCGTCATCTGCATTGGACACTGCGTGATCAGGACCATCTCACCGTGATGGCTAGCCCTCAGCTGTCACCATCCACAGTCATTTTTATATACTTCTTATCCAGTACAGGGTCCTGGTGAACCTGGAGCTTATCCCAGAAAGCATGGAACACCTAGCAAGTTCTGAGGTGCTAAGAGGGATATGAATACCCAGGCAGATTCAGGGGCCCCAACATTTGACAGGGGCCCATCAATATGTACAATTATATGTAACACTGAGAAGGGGAGGGGGTAAGCTGACATTTCTTGATATGCCCCTGACTCCTTATTTTATCATACCTTACTCATACCTTCATTTGATATAAAAAGCATGGGCAGATTGACAGATAAGCCACCCCAGGGCCCTGCCCCCCCTGACTGCAAATCTCACATATATGTGAATCATTTGTGAGGATTAAGGTGCTGATGACATGCATATTGTACCATACTGTGACATACTACTTTTGTGTCTCTCATTTTATTGTATACAATCTCATTATGGTGGGAGTCATAACACAAAGAAATGGTTTAATATGTAATTTTTTTTAAAAAAATTTAATAGTTTCTAATGTTTTGTAGTCATACTATGTTGTCAAGGTGTATATTTAACAAAAAAAGTGCGTTTGTGCAATTTGCTTGTCATGCCCTGCTTGTCCGATCCTCCCGTGTGCCACGCCCCCTCATCTACCCCGTGTGGAATCAATAACTGCAGAGTTACAAACTTCCTCTGGCATTAACCCCAGCCTTCATGCCCAATATCAGTGGCAAATCTCACAAATGCTCCCCTGAATGAATGAGCAAATTGTCCCACAGACACACTCCAAAATCTTGTGGAAAGCCTTCACTGAAGAGTGCCAGCTGTTATAGCTGCAAATGGAGGACCAATTCCATACTGATGCCTATATATGGATTTGGAATGGGATTTCAGGAAAGTTCCTGTATGACAAAACTAGCAATGTGTGTGTGTGTGTGTGTGTGTGTGTGTGTGGGATGGGGGGGGGGTTTTGCATAGATCACATTTGAGGACCAAATTGTCCCCAAAGTGTAGTAAAACCTGAAATTTCCCTACTTTTGGGGACATCTTTTGAGGTCCCCATTTGAATAACCCCAGTTTTATAAAAATCTGTGAATGCAATCAAAAAAGTAAAAATGCCAAAAGTCTTGTATTTGGGTTGGTTACTTATGGTTAAGGTTAGGGGTGGGTAGAGGTTAAGGGTTTGTGACTGGGATTAGGGTTTTCCCATAGAAATGAATGGACAGTCCCCATTTAGGTACTGTAGGAAGATCAACTTGCGTTTGTGTGTGTGTGTGTGTGTGTGTGTGTGTGTGTGTGTGTGTGTGTGTGTGTGTGTGTGAAAAATCACACTGGTAATATCTTGTGCTCATATGAAAATTGTATTTTTGTCAATATAAAAATCTTCATTTACATGAATGTGGGACAATACATAAAATGACATCACTGAAACTCATTGTTTATGGTTGGCTACATGTTATTAATATTTCGTATGTGTATTTGGCCTAGATGCAGCCCCCGGCTACTATCCAGTTAAAAATTGTCCCCGATCAAGTGTGTCAATCGCAGCCTCTACGAACTCGTAAACAAGATTTGCATTAAACAGGGATGACGTTTCGAGGGTAGCCAATAAAATCCCTCTGCCCGTAGTTACAAACGCTCCGCAAAATCCGCTGAAGACGCGTTTGCTCTGTCTCTTCGGAACCAGAAGCGGGTTTCGTGTGGGAGCAGCCGCGGGAAGGTTTGTAACACGGCTTCATTGACGCAGCTGCCTACGGATGTCTTTAGGCTTGTTTTATATCATTCCCAGTTTTCGAAGAACTTCTTCGGTCATAATTGTTTGGTTGAAGGACGATTTTTGTCGTTTTTTTTTATCTTTGCACGAGTATTTTTGTCGGTATGTTTTAACCGTTCTGCTTTATTATTGTGCAACTCGAACCAAAAATCTCACCCAAATCACCTGTTTGTACAGTATGTTTTTCTTTATGTTCTTAAAAATCGGACATGTGCATAATATGAAATATACATTTATTACTTTATTCTTTGTGTAATCCTAATTATTTTTTTGTAGGTTATATTACAGTTGTGCTTTGCGTTATTATTCTGAGATTCTGAAAAAAAAATCTGGCCGTCATGTTTGCCTTTTTAGCTGCGATCTTGTGCTTTTCCGCGTTGGGTAGTGGACAAGTGGTGCACAGTCAGAATGCCAAAGGATCGCGCTTCATTTGTACCGCGATCCCTATAGATGCTGATCCAAGCTGCCCCATACCTGCTGTGCCGCTGCAAAGTTCAAGTGTCCAGGAGGAAGATCTAAAAAACACCGTCATTCAACTTCGGGAGACCATTCTGCACCAGAAGGAAACCATTGTCGATCAAGTAGGAACAATAAAGGAGCTTACTTCCAAATTTTCCCGATGCGAATCGGCCACTGGAGAATCGTTTCTGGGTGGGAAATACAGGAATAAAGGTTCGTGGAGGAAAGACGGTACGAACACTATGGGTGACCTTCCACGAGATCCCAGTGAAACTATTGATCACCTCGGAAAGACCATGCAAAATCTAAAGAGCCGGTTGGAAAACTTGGAGGTAAGATTTAATGGTTGATTCAGTTTAGTTTCCACGCAAATACAATAATGAAAATTTGAAAAGGGTGCCGTTCTCCGTGTCAGGAGTATACTACGCTTTACTAAAACAGTTTTCTTGTCTTTGTTATCTGTGTGATTAAAAGATGTTGAATTTCGACAATGAAATTAAACGAATTAGGCTGTTTTTCGGACATGTCAATATGACTCTTAGCAAAAATTATAAAAGAATCATTCATTGTTTTATCACTGTTATAAAATAAATGTTTCCACAAATATTAGCTATAAACAAAGCTATTGTAACAGAGAAAAAGAAAATTCCCTTGTCTGAGAATAGATAAATTTCATTCCATATGCAATGAAAGTAATATTTTTCTCTAACGTCGTACCATTGGCTGGCACATTTCTTAATTATTTTGTAGTCTAAAAATATTTTTAATTCAACGTGTGGCTTGTTTCAATAAAATGTACTATACATGCGTACAAATGTTTCTGTTATTCCGGATGTAAATAGTTGTTAAAGAGATTATCTCTAAAAATAGATGACTTGTTTCACGTACATCCGATTTATCAAGGGTTCCTATTCTAAAAGGTTCCCTGAAGCCATTAAGCTGGTGATCAAATTAAATCTATGAAAAATACGCTAAAGTTTCACAGGACGCAGTTTAATTAAAAACAGCTGATGAGAACCGACGGGAAAGCAATGTACAAGCTTATCCATATTATATAATTCATGTTTGTAATACTATGCTTCAAATTCTAGTTTTAGTTTTACAGAGGTAGAGTTCAGTTTTCATCAAAACCTTATTATTTATCAAAACAATCATTTAGGTGCATCAAGGTAAGCATGTATAATTGGATTAATTCATCACGAAATGCTGTGCTTCATGTACAAAGGCAGTATCATTTGTCCAGTACCATTAAAAAATATTTCTAATATATAGTGCATATAAACATGCATTGTTGCTATGTTCTCTTTGTTCTCTTTTGGTAATTTGATACATTTTTATCTGTGAATATCCAACTGTGTTATTATACTGTATGATATTGTGCATCAATTAGCATAAAAGCACAAAATCCCCTTTTCTACTGTAGCTGGAGTGCAATTACTATTTCACTATTTCGAGATGAATAGAAATTTAATTAATGTGTAGCAGTTTATTATTAAACAGATATGACTTCAGAGAGTTGCAGTGGCATATATTTAAATAGAATGCCGTAAGGCGGAAGCACTTTTATGGTTTCTTTCTTGTGTCAGCAGCAGCAGATGCGTGCCAATCTGTCTGGCATATCTTTCCCTAATGAACTGCGAGACCTGCTGCAGCGCCGACTGGGAGTGCTGGAGAACCAGCTCCTGAAGAAAGTGACGGAGTTGGAGGAGGAGAAGACTCAGCTGTACAACGAGACAGCCGCCCACCGGCACCGTACGGAGAGCACCCTCAGCTCCCTGCTGGAGAGGATCACCGAGTTGGAGAAAGGTGCCCGTCTCGGCATCTCACACACTCTAGACTGTCCCTCCCCTCTGCACAATCCCACACAGGTACACAGGTATGAAAAACACACCTACAAGTGAGCATCCGCTGTAATTATGGGAGACGTTTGCCGCTGTCCCTGGTGCTGAACAGACATCTTGGTGAATCGGACTAGATAGCTGAATATAAATAATGATTTACAATTCATTCACTTGTAACAGAGGTGCTGCGAAGTGCATTAATTTGTGTGACATGCATTATTGTTAGGAGTGTGTAATGTTGTGATTGCCAAGCCTAGCATAGCCCATAAACACTGTTTGCAAGATCATTATTTTCAGGTAAATTTCTGTTGGGCATTTAGATAGTGTTCACTTGCCTTGTACCTTTCATTTGATGTTGAGAAATATCTTCTCAGATTATCGCCGAATGTTGTTAATCATTTTGATGTTAATAATATTTTTGGCTGTCTGCCTTTGCTGATCGCCCCAATGCCTTCATGTTGTTCTCACTGTATGTTTCAACAAAATACAGTAGCAAACTTTTTGATCAAAGGTCCACATCAGATATTAGTTTAAAGTCAGAGGTTCGGAACAATTTTCAGTAACAAAACAGCATTTCATGAACTTTAATGAATTAGAAATAACTTTTGATGTTAGACATCAATATATATAGACAATGGGACCTTGAGAATGCTTGTTGACTGTTTTGACACTCTTTTATTAGGGGGGGTTGACAAGTTATGTGTGTGCAACGTTTGGTGGTTCTACATTGTATTTTTGGACTTCAAACCACGCTAAGCCTTTTTCCGTTAACTATATTGACTCTTAGGGTGCATTATCAGCCGGGTCCAGATTATCTTGCAGTGTTGGCTTTGAGAACCCCTGTTTTGCATGAACCATTTGGTCAGAATGTTAATTGAATGTGGTTTATGCATAAATCTTGAAATGGGAGAAATCACCAGTATTTTTAGACATAAACCACTGGCGAAAGTTCATTTGAGTGCAGATTATCAGGTAGCTGAAGACAAAAATAAAATATTTCCTTTTCAGGAGAGTGTTCGTAAATATTGGAATACATTACACATGTTAAAAACTCCTGTTCTGAGGGCACAGCCGTGCACGTGCATTGGTGCGCTGGCGTATTCAAGCCAGCATGTGACGCTGTCCTTCCTTGTCTGGCCTGCAGGAAGCAGCCCGTTCAAGTCCCCAGAGGGTTTCAAGGTGTCCCTCCCCCTGCGAACTAACTACCTGTATGGGCGCATCAAGAAGAGCTTGCCGGAGATGTACGCTTTCACCGTGTGCATGTGGCTGAAATCGAGCGCCAACCCCGGCATTGGGACCCCGTTCTCCTACGGCGTACCGGGGCAAGCAAATGAGATTGTGCTGATCGAATGGGGAAATAACCCAATAGAGCTGCTCATCAATGACAAGGTAGACAGCAGAGCTCTTTCTGTGCGGACTCCATATGTTGCGGAGACGCATTGATGCAGTGCTACCATGAATGAAGGTCTCATTGTCAGAGCATAGTGTAAACACACTCATTTCCACCAATCCCGCTGAAGCATGGTGATCTTCGCATAAATTTCGTTACATACTGTATTTCTTTACTGTTGGTTTACTTAACGCCTTCACAATATGTATAATTCTGCATAGTCGAAAAATTATGTATTTTTCTTTTTTTTTTTTACTGTGTTTATGGGTTGTTACTTTTAATTGCGCTCATAAGAGCTTCCTTAAGCACAGTGCTGTGCAGTCGAACAGTCACTGAATAAGGGCTTTCACTGAATCGAGGTTTGCAGGGGTGTGCAGTAGACTAAATGTGTTTGTGCTGTGGTTAGCTTTGGTAGTGATATTCATGATCTAGGTAAGAGCTATATAAAGTAGGCTTTAGGCTGTAATATTGATGCTAGGGTTTTTAAATAGATCCTTTTATATTGATCGTCTTTGAAATAATTTGTTGTTTGACAGAATGTTGATTTAAATATGAGCGCAATGCAATTTTATGACCATGTAATAAAAAGGAACCGGAGGAAGAGTAACAGAAAACCATCAAAGGGAAAGTGTTCCCTTTTTTTTGCAGTTTTTGGGTGTAGCATGAGCCTGTTGGCACAGCATGGGAACAGCTGGAGCCCATCTGCCCTCTCTCTGTCTCTTCATGTCTGTGCCCATCTCTGCTGGGCTGCACAGGTGGCCCAGCTGCCGCTGTCTGTCAGAGATGGGCAGTGGCACCACATCTGCATCACCTGGACCACCAGAGATGGCCTCTGGGAGGCATACCAAGATGGGGAGAAGCTGGGATCTGGAGAGAACCTGGCCCCCTGGCACCCGATAAAGCCTGGCGGGGTCATTATTCTGGGTCAGGAGCAGGTGAGTCCCTGAGTGACACACAGGATATAGGCACCGCAGGTGCTTAGAGGACTAATGTTGACATGAAGCTTAATTAAAATGCACATTATTGTTAAATACAATTTTGTACTACAGTTGCCTGCTATATTATAAAAGTTCATTTTTGTAATAAATGTTAGAATTTGCTAGGATAATAAACAGTATGTATTTTTTAGCAAGACTTATTTTTGGCAAGGATAAATTTAGTTTTTTATGGTCCTGACAGGACACCGTAGGAGGACGATTTGATGCCACTCAGGCCTTTGTTGGGGAGATCACCCATTTCAATATGTGGGATCGCGTGTTACGGCCCATAGACATCATGAACATGGCCAACTGCTCCTCGTACATGCCAGGCAACATCGTGCCCTGGGTCGATAACAATGTGGAGATCTTCGGTGGTGCTAACAAGGTAGCCCTGGAGATATGTGAGGATCAACTACTCGGCTCCTAAGAGCACCCCCTGCAGATGGAAGCAGTTACCCCAGCCTTCTTCCTGTGAGGCCCAGCAGTCGGCGGTTTATAAAGATACACACTTGTGGTTTGTGGTCAGTAGTGGAGAGTTATCATCAAGTACTGGGGACCGACTGAGACAAAAGGTTTTCACTGTGCATTTCTGTACTGGACTCAGCATTCCTGTCAGCCATTGTTCTGCTTGTTGGCACCTTTCTGTATATTTTTTTGGATTTAAATTACATTGTTTGGTTAATCCAGAATGACATTATTGTCTTACAAAGGTATGTTTTACCCCTTTGACCACCCAGTGTTTGACTAAAACACTCCACCCAGGTTACCTGATTTGTTCAAAAGTTCCATATCCAAGGACTTATGGGCACAATCCTGGCTACGCTAAAATCGATGCCCAAATTGAAAACCTGAGGGGGTTTGTAAGTGGATGCTGGTCCAAAAGTTTTGCATTTTTAGTTTGTATAATTGGAACGCTTTGTTCCCTCCTTATTTTGGTAATCATTCTGAAGGTTAAAGCTTCAGTTTGTGAAAATTTCATTGCACACCCTGATTCCCTCTGTCCATACCTGTGGTTTCACAGTGCTAAATGAACACAGACCACTACAGAAAAAATAAATCTTTCCTCATCAAGTAAATGTGACCAAATGGGTGGCGGCAGAGAGCAGCTGCTCATAAAACAGGGAAGTGGACGGAGAATCGCGGTCGTGCTCACACCTACAGACGGTGGGTTAGGGTTTGGCGATGGGTATGTTGCATTTCTGTGTCAATTTGGTCAAAGTTATAAAGATTAGTGCACTGAGTAGCCGCGCTCTTGCGGTCTTACACTAATGTCACTCTCCAGGAGCTGCCGGCTAGAGAAGATATGTCGTGGGCTGGCTGAGGAGAACACGAAAGTCAGCACGCTCCCGCTGTCAGCTCGCAGGCACCGGGTTTTAACATTCTGGGCTGCGCATTACTGTACCTATCTGCTGATAGATGCACTGTGGCCAAGAACTATTAGGATGTAAAGAAGAAGATGCTTTGAAAATATGTGTCATTTTCAAAATGTTGACTTTGTTTGGGTGCTTTGCATATTTCACCTCATTTTGCAGTCTTTGATCTAACATTTGATTACGTACTGTGAATATGGTTGGTTTTCGTTTCTCTCAGTTGATCTGTTTTGACTTATTAGATCAAGGCAACAAAAGATGTTCTTCTGAATTTGAGTCTATCCCTCTACAACCTCCAAACTCATGTATGGAACCTGGTATTCAGAATATCAACCAGGGATTTAATTGAGTCATTTTGATGATTGTCTTTAGTCATTCAAGAGAAAACCTGGAAGTTATGCACTCTCAGAATCAGAATCAGAAAAACTTTAATTATCCCGGAGGAAATTGCTCATGTTACTACAGACGGTCACACATAGACACAGGACAAGAACATAAAAGAAAAGAATATCAGATATAAGAATAAGAACTAAAAATAAAGTTATGAGAGACTCTGCGCTATGTACACCATGATATATACAGAAGCAGAAATACAATATATATAAATAGAATAAATTTACCTAAGACTCTAATGGGGTAATTAACATAGTGTTAATAACGTTGACAAATGCGTTGCTAAGATTTGCTTAATCGTTTTAGGAATCAGTGTGACTTCTCTCCAGTTACTGCGGAGTGTGTATAATGAAAAACGCCTTATGACCCTACACTGCATTCATCCCTTTGAAGTTATTTTTCTGCTATTTTTGACATTGTGTCTTTTGGTCCTTCTTGCACTGACCTTTGGATGACACAGGAGCATATAAGATAAAAATGGTTTTGTTTATAAGCATGACAATCCAAGGCTGGGAGTTATCAGGAAATTGGTGATTATAAAACACAGCAGTAAGTCAGCTAACTTAACTGTACTGTAAGTACACTGAACTGATATTGAAATGTATATTACTAATACAGTATACTGAAATTTCTGTTTAACTTGAAGTCTTTTATCTCAGCTGTATGCAGCCCCTTATCCGACTAACCATAAAATCGCAAACCATTTATGGCCCAGAGTTAAATATTCCTGCTTTTATAAAAATGACAAGTGAACACAAATGTTGGTATTTAATTTTATCCGGCCCCCTTTTTCTATTTGATGCCAAATGTTGTGTTTCTATTTTCTATTTTCGTGACATGTTCTGATAATGTATTTTTTGTAATCTGTTCCACACTGTTTTTCACAAATTGTACCATAAAATGAGGATAGAGTATTCATTGTGCGGACGCTTACCTGTTAGATAATTCTCTTGGCTTCCTTATTCCTCAGCATGACTGAAGTCTTTAGCCGATTGGCATCTCAAGCATTGACCCCCCCCCCCAAGCAAATGCTCTTCCTTGGTAGTTTCAGGGTCAGTTCTCACATCTCTTTGTTCCAAATGCTCAGCCGCTGATTTCCATCTGCCAGTGGAATACCAGGGAGACGTGACCGTAGGTGAGTTGCTTTGCTTGCCCTTTAAAATGTTCTGGGCCCATTGTCAGTGCTTGACTTTCGAACACTGCATGCAGCAGCCAGACACATCACCACACATGATTATCCAGCTGGTGTTCTATAGCTTTGCCCCACTGCTCAGTAGCCCTGCTCATCACGAACAGCCCTATTATTCTGTGGTCATAACAATGTAATCTACCAGTAATTCATTACAGATCATTAGGATTCCCTGGTGACAGTGGTGTGCCTCATAAAACCGGCATTATCTTCATGTGTTTTGAAAGACTTAATTCAAATTTATTATACTGCAAGGTATAACACATAGTTATCCCTTATTTATAGATATTCCAACATGGTTTATACCCACATATTAGCTGAATAGGCTTCTGTCCCAATCTGTGCCAAATGCTATTTCAGTGTTTGTTTGACTCAAATGCACCATTTTGCCAGTGATGAGATTATGATATGGGAACTGTATTATATTGTCTATATAATTGGTTTACTGGAGATTTGGAGGATGATGACGTCTTTTTTGGAAGAATGTTAATTTGAAAGCTTGGCCGAAGAGTTAATTAATTTTCCCTGGATTGAGATATGGCCCTTTTGTAGAAATGTGTTCCAGCCACCCAAAATAAATGCAAGATTATGAAAAACATCAAGGATAAATTTTCCTTTTCACTCTCAAAGCTGACCCATGCTCTTTATTATATGTTTCATCATCTTTTTCTTCAAGGGAAATTCTCTCATTCAGTCTAAATAATTGTATATTATAGACATAGAACTAAAAAAATAATAATAAATATCATTAAAACTACTTTCAATAACCAGTAAAAAAATGTTTGGTGAAGAAGGCTATACCAGAATGGGAATGGGATGTCATATTCTGCATTGAAACCAAGGCAAATATTTTTATGGAGTAATTCTAGGTAATAAATTTCCCAGTGCATAACGTAGAACATAGAACTCCTTTAAAGGCTTAAAAAAAACAGAACCCCTTCCGTGAAAGTTTTGATCTCCTCCCTGTTCTTAACCATTACACCACTTGCACTATTATCATACGACAGAAACAGAGACGACTCACGGCAGCAATTAGAAGTAAAAGCCCCCCCAGGCTCCATCCCTGACAAAGGCAGCACATGTAGTGATGACAGCGGTTTGGTTCCAGAATGAGGCACAGGGCTACTTCCACATGACAACCAGCATGTTGTCATTCCGCTGGGGAATAAAGCAGCACCAGGTACGAATGTTACCCGGCGGGGCATTTTAAAGCAGACTAAAGAGGTTCATTAAACAGGTGACCTCCACCATATATTAGCAAGATATTATTTTAATGGATGCAGGCAGCTCAGTGACATGGCGAGAGTTTCAATGAACAAGAACATCCTCCAGTATACTAGGTATATTCTGCCCAGTCAGAAACAGAGAATGCAGCCATAAAATGTAAAAAAAATCTTGAAGTAGATTTCTATGAATTATACATACATATATATGCACTGGGTCTTATTTACAGTTTTTCTCAGTTGCTTTGATGCATTTCTCACCACAGAATTGAAGTTCTCAAAACTGCTCGTTCAATTCCTACAACAATTCCTACAACCTCACATCATAACAGCAATTTCTGGTTGTTGTCGTCATTTTGCAATTGCTTTAGTACACTCAGGCAGATGCTTATGTGCAATTCTCAGCTATATCATACATCAGTGGTTGCTTAAGTCATGATGATCAAAATGCATTGCGCTAGCCCTCTTTTACATAGTCATACACTCCAGACGAACTCGTCATTTTTTCATTGTGTAAGTCATTGCAGTCAAAAGTGTTCAACAAGATATCATTGACTGTCAAGTGTATTTTATAGGTTTCTACAAAACTTTTTTTGGTTTGTATTCACAGTACTAATGATTCCTGCACCACCTTAAATTCCTCTCAGGTGAAACATTATTAGGGGCATGTGTGAGATCTTAGCTCAATCAAGCAACTAATCACTGAACAGTCCCCTAAAATTGCTCCTGAACCTGCAGTTGGCAGGCATATAAAGACAAGGCACAATGCAGCATGGAAGAACATCAAGGAAGGACAACCTAAAAATGGAAGAACAGCAAGAAAATGAATAGGGCCTACAGCCCAGACCAAGAAGAGTAAGGGTGCGTGGTGTAAGGAGACAAAACAGAAGAGGTTCAACACGTAGGTCAGTTTCTGATGAAATAAGGGCCACAATTGTGGACCATGTTATAAATCATGGCCTTTCAATGGCTGAAGCAGGTCAAAGGGTGCAGCCAAATTTGGGGACAACAACCGTATCCTCGATTGTTCAAACATTTCACAGAGAGAACAGGTGTGTAAATCCACGATTTTACTCTGTATTTGTGTGTATTACTTTATAATGTTACAGTATTTCATATATTTACAATAGTCCACACTAGACAATATGTATGTTACTGTTGTCCATTCAGTCTTGTATTTTTACTGTGACACATAGGACTTCAAGACTTCCTCGAAGAGGTGGCAGGGGGCCTATTTTCACTCCTCAGCAGGAAGAGGCTATTTGTGCTATGGTCATAGCAAATGATGCCATAAGACTCAAGGAAATACAAACTGCCATTATCACTGACAACGATGTCTTTGAGAATGTCCAGTCTGTCAGCATCTCAACTATTGACAGAGTGCTGAGGAGAAACCAAATGAGTATGAAGCAGTTATACTATGTACCATTTGAAAGGAATAGTGAAGTAGTGAAGGGACGTCGGTCCCAGTATGTGCAGGTAAGACTGAACATGTACAGTAATACTG